CCGAGTTTACGTTAATCCTTTAATTCTTTTGCAACTTTTTGACTATGTACTGCGCATTATTATTCGGAACTGTCATTCAAAAAAAATAAGCTCGTCGAGCTGATTACTGGAACGAATCGCGTCCATTTGGAATAAGAACGTATGAATGGACTTTGCTGTAAATCAGTGGAAATTGATGTAAGTGAGAGGCGTTTAATACATCAAGTGCAGCTAGCAGCCGATACACGCGCTCGAAAGCACTCGACATTTGCTTCGATTCGGCGTTTTCGACGTATTTTAGGAGCCCGATCCGAACTTGCCTGCGATCAAAGTCGCAATGCGATGAGTGGCCCTTTGAATTCTCCCCCTTATACTCGCGAGGCAAGTCTCTTCGACCACGTAGAATTACAAATTGCTTTGAATCGAAGCGCCAGGATCGTTTTTCATTAAATCTCAAAACTTGGAAAAGACCATATTTTTTCCAGTTGGCACAGTAGGATTCAACTGTCAACACCTTTGACAAGTGTCGGGCACGTGATTCATTTTTTTTGTTGTTTTCATCTGTAATTGCCGAGGGTCCGTAAAAATCGAGTAATTAAAATTGTCGCTAACGCAAGAAACTCGAATGGAGCACGCGAGAGGATTAACAGCGCACCTGGATTATTCATTTTCGACGCAGTTTCGTTCGTAAGCCTCGAGAATGACTGGATGAATGAACGTCGAGCGAGCAAGTTGATTCTCGGGAAAAGATCGAATCGAAGCGCCAATAAGTCCGAATGACCAAGTTGCACGAAGGAGAGTTAATTAGAGTTAGGAGTTTTAAATTAATTTGAAGATTTTCTCATCGTCAGCGGATATCTTTACCTCGAAGTACAGTCTAGCGAGCAGCGAGAGGAAAATTTCCTAGCGTGCAGACTCGCAGCAGGCGAAAGAAATGAAGCGCGGACAGAGAGACAATAATTACGTGCGCGTCTTTATTTGGTGGTTGCTCGGCAGCAGCAGTATACTAGTGGTGGTGGTGGTGGTGGCGGTGGTCGTGCCTTGTGATGCTACAGAAGTTAATAAAATCCCGGCGCGCAGTGTAGCGGAGTCACACCCAGCCCCGTTCGCCCCCAGGCCGGTTTGTTTAGCGCCGCGCGCCAGACGAGCAAAGGCGTAGGTAGTGTCTGTCTATGTGTGTGTGTGTGTGCAATTCCATCCTCGAGCTGATGCTTCTCGTGCTATACTATACTTCTCTCCTCTTGGAATCGAGCGAATCCAAAAGCAGCTCGTCTGTTACTTGTTAGTCGGATGTGTTGCTGTTGCAGACAGATCGCGAGCCCACCTAGAGCCCCTTTTACTCGTCATATAGAAGTTCGGGTCTTGGCTCTCCTTTCCTCTTGATGTTCGATAAACAGATTCGCTTAATAATGCAGCTACTTATAATAATCGAGATCGAGCAACTGCCTGTTCTATTGAATACCGTATACAAAGCTTGGGAGCATTTATATGCCAGCGGGAGAGTGCGAGAGCTGCAAAGGACTCGAGTGATGAAGTCGCCGATGGACCTAGAGTCAACGATCCCCGAAATTCGAAAAAGTCTCGCAAAGTGTGCTGCTGCCTGGATGTATTCTCTCTCTCTCTCTCTCTCATGCAGCTGTTTTTGCCCTCGGGGGCCAATAACAATGTCCTAATATTGATGCTGGACATGCTTTCCCCTCCCTGCAGCCTCTCTCTCACCCTCTGTGTATGTTTACGTTTTTTTTTATCGACGATAAATCTGCAAGCCGACGAGCGATTCTTTTTTCGCCCACGCGCCCGTACAGATATATACTTGGCTTAGTTCATTCAATCCGTCGTCTGTTTGGTTATTTTTTTTTTTTTTTAGTCGTTGCTGCTACTGGACTCTGGGAAGAGTCGAGCTTTTTTTCAGCTAATATGCTCCTTTTGGCCTTACACACTTTTTCGATACACCTCCAGCTGGAGTGCTTAAAACTGCTGATACACGATGCTGCTACGCGTCGAAACTACATATACGCAGTCCTAGCATGTAGAGAGTCGTTTTGCACTCGTTATATAAAGGCAGCGATATAGTCAATATAGCGCAGTAGCGAGCAGAAGAACGGTTTGAGCTCGTGCCAAAGTTGTGCTTTCAAGAGCGAGAAACGACAAATGAGCTTCTTTCGGAGCTATTTTTTCCTCTTAACAAACTCGTAGCGAGCTCTAATTTTTCCGTTTGAAAGAGGTACGAAAATAATCGAACCGAGCTGTTGACTCTTTGGAGCGAATGGAATCCCATACATTATACAGTTCTTTTGCAATTTTGCGCGAGCTGCGAAAAACGATAAACATTTGTCGCTGTTATCGGAGCAATAAAAGCGATTACATTCGTGGGCGAGGTGTGGGCGCGTTTCTAAGGAGAGAAAAAAGGGCAAGTGGCACAAGTACGTAAGGGATGGAAATGTTCGTCGGGAAGAATTGGCAAAGATGAGGCTCTGGAACATCAGAGGGCGGCGAAGAGAATGCGAAGGAAGTCGCGCGAGCGGCCCGACGAGCTATAGCAACGACGAGTCGAGCAGTCGTCGATCGCAGTGCGTGCCTAGCAGCTACGTGTGCAGTCGCAACTATTACCTCTGCGCGACTCTGCGTTTGATCTCGAAAATCGCTCCAACGAATCCATTGTCAGTCCTCTCGCCTTATACTACGGGTACTTACGGCTTCGACGCGCGCAAGCCATTCTTCTTCTTATTCTCATTCTTGACATTGAATTTCGCGACTATATCTCGCACAGCTACATAATAGACAGAGCGACATTATATAATGTAGTCGCAGCAGTTCTTCTATCATGCAATTCCAGGCTTGCTTTCTCCACTGCGCTGCAGTAAGAGAGAGTTTAATATGAAATCTATAGCGCATGTAACTATGTATACGCGCGATCCTGCCAAAAGCTATATTATATAAATCTTTTCAACTATACCTACGACAATTAGGACGCATGAGCGACGTGTAGTAGAGCCCCCCGCACGCAATTATTAGCGCGATTTTGTGTCTGCAGCTGCTCTTACTTGTGCTGCGATCCTCGCATATCTATTCGCACCCGATACACCTACGATGTTAGCCACGAGCTACGATTCATTACTTATCTTTTCATCGTTTTCTCAAAGATCACATATTTACAAACATAAAAATGTATGAATGAATATATAGAATAGAATATTAAATCCTGACGTAATTGTAATAATGCAGCAACTATGACGTATATTCGTTAGCCATCATCGATCACTCGATACACCATTGAATCAATCAGTCCAACAACAACAGCTGAGCAATTGTAACGATTGTATCGCGCGACCACAGAGTGTAAATGAAAGCTAACAAGATTTATCCTATACATGCTCTCGAGAACTTAATTAGCTCATGCGCCACACGAAATCACAGCTCTGCCAGCATAACCAGGAAAATTCCGAACATTTTTTCAGATTCATAATATATTACAAGCGCCGCACCGAGATTGAAGCAAGCACGTGAAAACATGAGCCATCGTGTCTGTTCATTTTTCAACTAACTGAGATTGAAGCGGATTAGCTGTCTACAGATTATGAGATGAATTGAATGACCATTTCTCAATGAGCTTCTGTAATGGAGATTAATGAAAGTTTACTCGCTTGCCTACCTATGTTTCTATGACTTTTCTTGCGCTAGCTTAGTGTACAACGCACTTTTTCCCAAAAGTTTTCCATTCTTTTACAGGTGAATGAACAAGTTGTCGAGTATTTTATTTTTACAAATCACGCAGTTGCGGCAATAAAAATGCCTGAGAAAATGTTGAAAAATTTGTTTTTTATTTCCTACTTTGAGAATAATTGAATTTGAGAGGTATAGTAGCAGCATTATTCACTTGATTGAGTCGAATAAAACCGAATTGTTAAAGTGCGCTATTTTCGAATTAGTTTCTACGATCGAGAGCCATCATTCTGCGCCATTAACTCGAAATTCAATTGTATACCTTTAACCTTGGCTTCAAGGCAATATTGCAAGCATGTAGGAGTCATTGCGAGGTTTAATGAAGGAAAAAAATTGCAAGCACGCGTTAATTGAAGAGCACACGAGCGAGCGAGTAAAATTGTTTTCCTCTTTTGTTAGTAATAAAGTTTCTTATTTTTATCAACTATTATATCAAGGAGAATCGGCAAAGTCATACTCGAAGCGCCGGGATAATTCGTAGAGAAAAGAAATACATCGTTGTAATTGGATTAATTGCAGCGTTCGGTGCACCTGTCGATCGCGATCGGATCGGATAAATCCGTCGTAGAAATTAAAAATAAGGAAGCAGAGGAAAAGAAAAGTGAAAGCGAAATGAGAAAAGCGTTTGTTTAAACCACTGAGATTTGGAGAGAAAAAATCAAAACCCGTCGAGCTTATATAATAAGCGTATTGGGGGCACAGCTATTATATCGAGAGAATCGTCGTATTCAAAATCGAATGACTCGTCGTAATAATCGAGATTTTCCAAGTTTAGGTGAATAAAGGCCATTTAATGGTCGATGATTTAATAATAGATTATAATAGTCGCGGGCGCTGCAGAGGATGACCAGTGATTTCGTAAGCGCTGGATTTGGTTATCGAGGAAAGTGCCGAATAAAAGGCCGAGAATAATCGTTGGTGCGTCAGTTGGTGCGGGTAAGCGCCGTCACTGGGGAATTGCCTCGTGGCCGCAGTGGACACACAAATAGTGCAGCCGAGGAATCGGCGTCACGAGTAGTACACGGCTATACACACGCGCTAGAGTCAGCAGTCGGGGAGGGGTGCCGTATTCACGTAGCGGCGCAGACGTCAGCCTCGCCAAGGCCTCGGGATTGGTCGCGGCCCGAGCATGGCGCTCCCGTAGCAGCGACTGGCTGCCTCGTCGCTCGGGCCAATTTTGCCGCGATGGAGGGGACGAGTGTCGCGGGCCGAGGGCCGGCCGACTCGCAGTCTCGTATGTACATACGTAGCATAGCGCGCCACAGAGTCTCGTGGAGTCGACTCGCGCGAATCTCGAAGGGCGACACTTGTCACGGCTGCGCTTCAGTAGTTTGCCTCGTGCCACCCCGAAGAGACGTCCTTCTCTCGTGCTCTCTCTCTCTCTCTCTCTCTCCGCTCGACTTTTTCGTTACGATATTGTAATAAATTCGCTTCTGCTTGTGAGTAATGATCGTTAAGGGGGTTCGTGCAGTTGGACGATTTCATCAGCAGGGACTTATTTCCAGTGCGTTCACCTAGACCTAGTATTAGGAAGGAGTATAAAGTTTTTTGTTGTTGTTGCTACTTGACATTTTCTTGTGGCCAAGTGTGATTGACAATTGACAATTGCATCGACATGGCGCAGACCTTCAATCAGAAGAGGAACGTTTACAGCATCGATCAAATACTCGGACACGCCAAAAGCGACGGTAAGTACTTTATTTCTTTCCATCTCTCTCCCGCAAAGAATATCCTTCCAAGCCGAGTAAGAAATCCGCGTGTACCTCTCGATTCACCGGGAGGAGGCTACGTTGCTTTCGAAATCGACGATCGGCCTTGGCGACGACGTCCGCGAAGATCGAGTGGAAAAATCGTTAAGCGCAGCGCACGTGTAATCATCGTAATAAAAATGCAATAGGCGAAATAAAATTGCCCCCAGCGCGATGTGTCGAGGGCTCGCGAATTAAATCGCGAGTCGGTAGAATCGCGTGTCATTGAGCGATCGTTAGGACTATACACAGCTATATAAAAAGCACGAGCGAGCCTAATCACCTCTCCGGTGGGGCTAACCCTCTTTTTCATGGCAAATATAATATATAGTTTACGTGCATGTACGTATACGTATGTCTGTGCTGTGCGCGAGCTGCAATCACTCGTCGCAGGAAAAACGACAAAGAAGTGTGAGCAATGTAACTCGTCGTGGCTGATCGATACTAGACGCCTGTCAGGCCTGCTGCTACCGACTGCCATCGCGAGCTGTGTTTGTGTGCTGGTCTGCGTCGAAAGTTCAATTGCTCGATATCCACCTGCTCGCGAGCCTATATTGGCCAAACTTTTGCATTTCTTGCCGCGCACACAAAATAATGTATTCTTTTATCGACTATCGATTGGAGCGTTTGCGCGATTCGAGTGTTCGGCAAGGGGCACGACGATCGCTCGACATTCCGAGCGATTATAACCGTACCTGGATTTTCGATCTCAAATTTCATATTAATTTTTACGATTCTCAATTTTTATAAAAAAAAATGTATCGTCTGCTCATGTATTCCGGGACGAAATAGGTCGCTTTTAATAAGGCGCGCGCGCGCGCAACCAATAAAATACGCACCATAATGAATTATTAAAATAACTAGTTTTCACGATGGTGAAAAAGAGAATTTTGATCGACACTTTACGTCAATTTGAATAATCGATAAAATGGATCTTCTTTATTTGGCGATCCAGCCGTAAGTCGTAATATTTTTTTCTTTTGATTTAAGAAACTGCTCAATTAATACGTACCCTAATCCGATGAAAGTGGCGATGAAAATAAGCAGCAAGCCACAGCTCGTTAGAATTAATTAACGCGTTGCTTTACGATATATCCATTAAAAAAATTTTTTTCTTCTCAAAAGCCTCATCGAATCACGAATTAGGATATCGCGTATAAAAAAGCCCGTGCCGCACATATAATTCAACGCGCAAAAGAAACGACGGCATAATAAAAAATAAGAGAGTAGCAGCGAGAGCTCGAGTAATTTCAATTAGATAATTAATCAGCTGCGAGTAGTTTCGTCGAGGCTTTCGTCGCGTTACACGCACAGGCTTTAATTTGCCAATTGAAGTGAGCAGTACAGTAGGTATACACGTTTGATGAGCAAATTTAAAGGATTTATTATTGCGAATGGGAGCTGCGAGTCTCGTCGGCCAAAGGATTAAGAAACGCGAAGGATATATATTCGGGTGCACGCGTGTAGGTAGCAGCGTAGTATGGTAATAAGCTTGGTTAGCTACAGCAGCGCACATAATATATATAATGAATTGGAGCAATCGCGTTTGCTGCAGCTAGTGCCTAATAGTCAACGATGATAATCCTCGTCGCAAAGGAAGTAAAAAAGGGGGTCGCAAATGGATGAAAGCTCTGTACGTGTAACGTGCATATGTATAAAGCGCGCCGAGTGCATGCCACACTCGGTTGCGTGCACACGAGCTCGGCGAAATCAGCGAGTATAACAGAGCTCGAGTTGAATTGCGAGCATGTGTGTGTATGTGTGCGTGTGAATCGGTAGCGTTGGCGCACGCGTCTCTCTCTCTCTCTCTCTCTCTCTCTCTGCTCGACTGTATACCTACCAAAGCGGACCTCCAACAGGTGTAAAGAGCCCCGAGTAGCGCGTCGAGTGCATGTGGCCTGCAGTACAAACTCAACTACTACTGCTACATACGTCGGTGCTGCCAGCTCGCGTAATATGCTCGATCCTATTTCATTGCCATTAAAAGAGTGCAAGTTCACCTTCACCAAATATACCAATGAAAAAGATCGAACGAGATCGACTTTTCTGCAACGATATCTCGACCAATTCTCGAGTAAACTGCATTTTTAATTATCGATACGTGCAGGTCCCCCCCTTTGTTCAGGAGCGTTCGAGCAGGCACTCGAAGCGGCAGCGACCCAAGTACTACAAACTACCACTCGACTTTTCAATGCCAGACACATTTTATTAGTTCGGCTACATAACACGCGTATACGCCATTGTAGCCATTGCATCTCGAGTCGACTCGTACTCTGCACATCTGCGACGCTTGCGCTAATCGAATGGAAAAGGCCCTGTAGCATGCGGTATTTACCACTTTTCTCGATTCCAATCTAGCCCGTTTCTGCACGCGTCCGTCCATCCGTCCGAGCATTGTATACAAAGTACCTAATGCACTGCGATCGATTGAGGCTCTCAACCTTCACTTCGAGATCGGCCCCGTGAGCGACCCCCTCCCCAAAGACTCTATGCCGACTTTTTTTCCTCGCCTTATCTCGACTCGTCTTTACTTGGCCGAAAATCATACGTGCAGAGCTGCACAGGTGCAGTCCATCGTGCATATGCATCGGCTTATTTTTTGACGCCTTTTCGCGTGCACTTTTTGTTGCCGATGACATTTATTTTGCCCGCCTCTTCGAGCCCTCGATTACGAGCTCGTTTAGCCGATGCTAGTCCGAGCTTTTTTCCAACCCGTTAACTGCGTTAAAAGTCCATTTTAATAACGCCGAGAATAATTTAAATATCGCTCGCGCGACTCAAATAAGCGTCAAATTTAATTAACGTCGCTCTTTTAATTTCCATTCGTAAGTATTCGGAGTAAACTGGGCGCAGCTAAGAGCGCGTCGGGACGATCCGATCGAGTAAAAGAAATAATTAACAAAATTCCTTGACCATCTCGAACTAATATCGTTTTGATTTTATGTTAAAAAATCAAAGTACTAGTTGAAGAAATCGGATGTCGAAATTGCGCGTGCACGTGCTGCAAAATGGATAACGCGAGAGTAGATTCGTTTCTGCTGGCGCATCGATTTTCAAACGCGACGTTGAGAATTGTCTTTTTTTTTCATAGCGCTGCGAAATCTCTTGTCCTTTGACGGCTACGTACGCGGCAGGCACTGCACATCCTACGTGATCGCACTCGACGCTCACCCAAGTGCTTGGAGGAGTTGAGGGGGAAGGGGTGGGGGATGCGTACAGATATAAAGCAAGTGGGGGGATGCTATAAATATATGGTAGAAATCGCAACGATGAAATTAAGCGCGCAAATGTGTACCTTTGAAAGTTTTAAGCGGATTTGTTAGCATGTGCCTGGCTAGGTACTGCTCTACGTGTATGCTGCGCGTATTATATACCAATCATGCGGAAGGCAATTAGCAAAAAGTCTATATAACTTATAAAGCCGTACACAAGTACCACACGCACACACACACACACACACACACACACACACACACACACACACACACACGTCGACGAACAAAAGCTCGAATATTACATGTCCATATGCAGCGGATCGCGTATCAACGTAGCAAAGAGTATCGAGCCTTACAAAAATAACATCAAATGCAATTATTATTCGAATATTTGCGCAAAATTTTAATGCTCTTCAAGTATAATATGAAACGATTAATCGCTTATATACGCTCGCTTCCTTTCGAATTCTTCAAAGTAATGCAATGTGCCAAGCGAATTCACCTCTTTCACTGACAGAGTAGCAGAGAGGAAGATTCGTCATCTATGCTCGGAATATCAAGTCGGAATCATAACCGCGTCATTTTTTGTTGACATTATTATTTGATATTTTTCGTACATCTATAGAAAATCATAGACGAAACATGATAAATTCCGTGCTCTAAAGTTGCAGATCGATATTTGAAAAAGCTTGACCATAGTGACAAAACTAAAAATAAAATTTATTAATTTTCGATCAAAAATAAGGTTCGTCTTGAAAAAAAAAATTGATCTCGCTTCGAGCACGAGGATCGACAAAGTGAATTATGCAACTGTTTCGGTGCTCGCGAACTCGTACTCGAGAGATCAGTACATAAACATTAAATAATACGAGAGATGTAAAAATGAATGGTGTATAACGGCAGTGTAATTATAACGCACTCGAATCTTCAAAAGATATAACGTTTTTGAAATTCGACAAAAAGTCCGAGTCGGGAGTAAATTAAAATATTTGTATAAAACGAAAATATCGAGCGGACTATCGAGTCCAAGTGCATGGAAAATAATATTCTCTATCGGTCGGTGGCAGTTTACGTATACTACGAGCGAGACGTATAGAGCATAGGTAAAATGTAAAATCGCCCAAAAGAATATAATAAAAATATAAGCGGCGAGGGAAAATGCAGCAGCTGCAGCGGTCCCCGTGTATCCATATATTGGAAAGTGCATAAACGCTGCTGCATAGAGATACTGCTGCACACACCGACACACACGAGGACAGGCACGTACGCGCCCGTTTAATCGCCAATCGGGGATGCAGCCGCGCACAGAGCGAGAAAAAAAGCTCTCTCGTGTTGGGCGAGACTCTAGCCGAGGCTTAAAAATTGGCAAATCCGTCGATCAGACATCATCGAGCGCAGAGAGAGAGATTCCAGTGAGAGGCCGGTGCAGAGCTTTAAAAAACATATTCGCGAAATTCGATAGGTGCACGCAGCTACATTCGACGGTTAGCGTATACTATAAATTCGCTGCATAGTGCGATCCCAACAAAACTCGACGTTTCCACCAGTTTTTTATTTGTTATTATTATATTTGTTATCGACGGCGGCGTTGAGCTTTTTTCGGTAGCAGCAACTGCGATGTAATAATAAAGCTCTTTGGCTTGTTTTTTTGTTTTCCGTGTCGCAGTGCTGAATCACAACGTGGGAGTGGCGGACGGCGGCAACCTAGACTCGAGCGAGCACCTGGAGGGCGAGCTGGCGGCCGGCGACAGTTCCCTCTACGGCGCCGGCGACATCGACATCGAGTCGGATCGGCCGCGCAAGGTGCGCCGCTCCAGGACGACCTTCACGACCTACCAGCTGCACCAGCTCGAGCGTGCCTTCGAAAAGACCCAGTACCCGGACGTGTTCACGAGGGAGGAGCTGGCCATGAGGTTGGATCTGTCGGAAGCTCGAGTCCAAGTGAGTATAGCCAAGAGATTATCGAGGCAGCCTTTTTTCTCCTTGCATATCCTGCGCACTTCATTTCGCCCTTCGTCGACTTTATTATAATACGTGCAAGTATATAGCGGAGTCCTTGATGATAACTCGAGTCGTTGATGTCTTTAGCTTCTCTCGCAATTTCTCTCGCTTTTTCTCCTTGGCTCTCGAGCTAAAAAGCTTAACGCGCTCAGCCACTACAGCCTCTCCCGCAGCGACGTCTTTTCCTCCTCGTCCCGCCACTTGACTAATTACGTTCCTATTGTCGAGTTATCCGCCCCACCTTTTCTCAGTCGTCGTCGCCCACACGGCTCGTATTATAATTTTCTCTACTTTATTATATATAATAAAATGCGCAGCATGTACACATGCACAGGATTAATCGCAGCGAGTTAGCCCTAAGTCAAACACTCCGTTATTATCGCGGAAAAACTGAGTTAGAAATTACCTGAGTATACATGTAGCCGTTTATATTTTAATCTCCCTCTCCCTGCCCCTCGCTCTCCTTCTAGCACGCCACTTGAGAAGGAGGCTCAATTATATAACAAAAAAATGAGCGAAAAAAACAAAAGCGCTTACCTACTACTATACGATGAAGCATGGAAAATTAAGTTTGCGAGAGCTGCGAGTAATCGGCCCACTTGCCATTGTCTTGTTCATTTTTCTCATTAATAACTGCTTGCTCTGCAGCGGCTCCCAGGCGCCTTGTAATTCCAGCCTTATATACTTCCCGATCATATCTAAAAAGATAAATAAAAAGAAAGGGTTTCTGCGATTGATTTTATAAACGATGTTTCGGGATTTATAAACGATGCCATTCGTAATTCCGTTAATTGAAGCGAGTAAAAAGGGTTCACAGAAAAGCGCAGAATGAAATTTCGCTCGTTTTTTGCACGTATTCACGGCGATGCGTCGCCGGCAGGCAGTCAGTCATTCAGCCGGGGAAAAAAATCAGCTGCAGCTGGTTCGCGCAATTAAAGCCTGTTTTACCGTAATTTTTAGCGACTCTCTGTATAGGATTCAGCAATTATATGGGCATAATAACGCGTCGCGAGTACGCAGACAGGCGGACGCGTATACATAGTACTGCAGAGGGCAAACGTCGCGCGCTTTTACGGTAATCTTTACGTATTACCGTTAAAAATATTCCAAAACAAATAATACACGAAAAAAAGTGCAGCACGAGTTTCTCGCTTCATGATATTTGTGAAAATGAAATTCTCTCTCGTCGTCGTCGTCATCGTCGTCCGTGTCGTTGGCTGCTGCGCCGAGGGCGGCACACGATGTTGTTTGCAATTTAATCCCTTGATTCGTCGTCGTTACTGGCTAGGCCGGCCGCCATTATACAAATAAACTTTGGCGCTTGGAAATATATGCAAGCCCCGGAGCAGCCGAGATTTTTTGCTGCGCCTCGCGAACACGTATGTACGCTGCATTAATAGCGCGAGAAATAAAAACAAAATATCACCTTTTTTTTTTGTAAACTGCGCGAGTTTGGCATTAACATTGCAGTAAATTCGGCTGAGTGACTCTGATGCGAAAAAGCTCGAGCGCTCGATAATGACGACGACGACCGTAACTCACTTAATAGTTGAAAAGTTTAATGACGCACAAATTTTACTTTCACCGCATAGCAAAACATAGACGTAATAGATTGATAAACTGGCTTAATAAGTATGCGTCCTAGTGAAAATAAACTACTCAATTAGATTCGTAACTTTCAAGTTGGATAATTGGGAAGTATAAATAATGGTAGATTCAGCGAGTTGGAGCTTGGAGAAAAGATCAGCTGTGCAACTTCGACTAATTCGTCGCAATTTAAACGAACGAAAGAATGAGTGATTCAGCCGGGATCAGTTGGCAATTTGGCGGGTGAATCAGGCAAGATCGAAGAATGAGTTATCGCTGCTCGCGGATACAGAGCACAGAGTAGAGTACAACAGCAGCGAGAGGTGGAAAAAGTTTAGCATACAAGTGTAGGTCGGATAGCAGTGCTATATTACGTGAAAGCAGATACGCGCATACGTGTGTGTGTGCAGGGATGGGACGAATAAGGGAGCAGTGAAAGGCAAAAGAGAGCGAGAGATATATAGGTAGACGGCGTCGATTGGCGTCCATTGTGGCTGACAATGCCACGGCAATTGGCCAAAGCGTAGCGCAGAGCAGGGACAAAACCGCTAAACGCTCCGTACGGCCAGTGCTGCTGCCACTTTATTTCAATCTAGCAAATCCCCAGGTTCGAATTGCTAGCTACATTTTTCGACAGTACCAGTCGTTTTGCCCATCATACGTATAATACAATCGTCGAGTGTCGAAATGGACGGCTTCCCGTTGCAAAGCATTGGGCTACTTGCACATATCTGGAACTCGAATTCATATATATATATATATATAGCTAATGGTCACGGTACGCAGAGTCAAAAAGCTTCTGCGCCAGTGAGCTAGTCCATCGATATAGTAAGAGTCACTTTTTCATTGGCAGCTCTTTGTTCGCCGCCTATCTAGATTTTAACTTTTAAACAGTTATGTATACAAGGCAGTTCGCGTCTAAATTTGGGCAGGCAGCTATACGATAGCGTGCCGAAGCCAATTTGCTAAATTGACCTAGTGGTGAGCCACTGATCGAAGTATGTACTTGTGCATTACGTATAACGATCGAATAAACGAGTCTAGTCAATTTTATAATCATTCGTGTAAACGTGATTCGTGCTAAAGAACACGATCGATATGCCCTAATCCTGTGAATTTCCTAGTACAAGAGCAGTGGACAAAAATTCGCACGAATACAGGGGACGGACTAGGCGACGCACAGTTTGACGTCGACATTTGCGACGATCGAGTTACTTGCGGGGCAAGTTTAGTCGGCCGCCGCCTCTATTAATCGGGCGTGAAATCGATCGACACCGCCACGTATCGCAGCCGTGTACTTACTTATACGTTACGCGATCGGAGCATTAGAGACGTAGTTTGTATGCTTACAGGTATTAAGCTGCATAAAGAGAGAGACGGGGGTTGCGGGGCCAAGGGCTCCCAGGTATTATGCTTCGATAAGCATAGTATCTTTTAATTGCCACGAGTAAACATAACGTACGCGATTGCGCTATCATAATAGACGGATTACGATTGCTCGGGCGCAAAATTTCCCAGCGAATAATGTGTACTACAATTTTTTGTTGCTGTCGTTGCGTTTGGGAGCGCATCCCGGACAAGTTGATTAAGCCACTTTTGGTGCTCACCAGTTGAGAAAACTAATACTTGTAAGCCAGCATGGGGTTTATTTGCTATGCCACACTAAAATGCACTTGGGAGCTGCCACGCGCACCTAAACAAAATACCAAATATTATTAAACTTTTGCAAATTGTACAAGTATCGAGTAGTCGAGTTTGTAGTAGGCAAAAAGGTGCTCGATCGTGAGGCGACGGAGAAATTTCTGATCGAAATTCTCTAATAATAAATCCGCTCGAGATTGCGTCGGTATATAGAACGAGTCCAAGTCAGTGTACAGGCCTCGACAAAGAAACACTCGAACTCGAACGTATTCAGCTGACTCGAGTGAAACTATCAACGGTCTCGGGACAATGAGCTTGTACTATATGAGGGAGCGTATGTATAACGCGGCTTGGAAATCGAGCGCACACACGTACACCCACATTTACTACGTTACTACTATGCTCCCTCTTGCACACCCCGGAAATCAGGATAATTGTTAACAATTAGCTTAATCAGACACGAGAGAGGGGGTGAGTACATGTGGTACAAGTGTAGCCAACAGCTGTGTGTATGCGAGTTGGAAGGCCTTTGTTAATACGCGCTACGCGTCTAGCTCCGGCAGTGCTCAAATCGTCCGGTCGTTCGTCGGAGGATACTGCACGTACGCGGCCCAGGAATATGAAGAGCATCCGTAGCCTCGAGAATTAAACGTACGCTCGGAGCTCCGCAGCGAGAGCACGTATAATTGTCTCTGTTACGTCATACACGAACCGACACGAGCGAAAGCATTTAAATCTTGTCAATTTTACTCTTTTTTTTTTGTTGGTCGTCGTTGAGGGAAAAGTCGAAATGTGAAATCAGAGCTCGAGGCAACTGATGTGCCAATTTTTTCATACAGGATACCTGTAAATTATGATCAAAGGCTCGACTTGTTTTCATCCAATCGATTCGCGTTTTATGATAAATAAAATTCAGCTGCTAGTCAGAGCTCGTGTGAGCAAGCCCATGCCTGTGTGTTCCGAATAATAGGTACACATATACGCGGGTTGCATTCGCTGCGAGGGGGACACGAGCCGCGTGACGACTTAATCGGCCTGTGCGCCGGGCTCCTCTCGCCCGTCGCTTCTATTATAATGCCGAGCTGAGCCGAGCTCGAGCGAGCAATAGAATAGCATTGCTTGAGACAATTAGCAGCAATTAAGCAATTGAATCAGCTTCTGCTGCCGAGCGCAGCATAATCGACTCTCCCTTTTCTTATGTGTATTACGCACACACACACACACGTACCTACATAGGATTCATACCCACTCCGCAGCACTATAATATATATTGCGCGCAATTTTCCCTTTTCACCATCGTTTATACTCAACGATATTCCTTGTGCTCTTCCTGCCATTCAGTCATTTCGAGTTGCCAACAACCCTTCGTCCTGTCCAATCGATATACGAAGCTGCATATCGTTAATATCTCATTGAAATCATTGTAAACAACGAGTTGTAACACCACTGTAATGCTTTACGCTTGATTTTTCGATTGTTTTCTAGGTGTGGTTTCAAAATCGACGAGCCAAGTGGCGCAAGCGAGAAAAAGCTCTGGGCAGAGACACGACTTTCATGCACGTTGATCAGAATGGTGAGCTATAATTTTCAATTCGACTTTAATGCCTTTTTACTCGAGCCCTTGAAGGAGAAAAAAATCTCAAACAATGACTTTAAATTTGCTAATTAACTGGATTAATTACACAGCTCTACAAAAAAAAAAAAATTTTCAAATCCACCGACCGGACCTAGTGGACTTTATGTTTTTGGGGTCGCTGAATCCGAATCCGGGGTCGGTTTTTCAAGGTTGGCTCATTTTAGAGGTCATTTGAAGGTCAAATAATTGGAAAAGGGTAAAAAATCTGAAAAAATTCATACATGGGTTTTTGAGGATGCCGAATCCAAATCCGAGGTCGGATGACCTTTAGGAGGTCAATTTCAAGGTCATTTGAAGGTCAAACTACAAGAATTCAATGAAAATATCCGAAAAAATCACCCTTTTGTTTTGAGGGTCGCTCATTCTAAATCAGAGGTCATTTTGACTGAATCCGGCCTTGTAAAGGTCATTTGAAGGTTATTTTAGGGTCAGATCACGAAAAAAGCTTTAAAAAATCTGAAAATACTCATTCTCAGGTTTTTAAGGATGCTGAACTCAAATCTGAAGTCAGATGACCTCTATGAAGTCACCTTCAAGGTCATTTCAATGTTAAATTTATTTAATGCGATAAAATATTGGAAGAAGTTTGTGCTTAGTTTTTTAAAACTGAATTAATTTTTTAGTCTGAGACATTTAGCGAGCTCACATTCTGGGATAGAGCTGCTTTTTTCCCTACTCAATAAATATAATACATTTTTTCTAAGCTATTTCCCCGCAGTAAAGCAACCAAAAAAATCTCTTTATTTTTTAACAATCAATTTTTACTTCCGTTATTATAAAATTTACCTTAATTTTGTTGACATAGCTTCAGGTAAATTTTTTATAGGACTTCTTTATATGTGAATATAATATAGGCTATTTTATTTTTTACTATAGAATTGGGTCACAAAATTTGAAAAATTCTTCATCAATGGATTTTTCTTCGATTAAAACGAATGCATTTTAAAATTTTGTGAAACAATGTCTGAGAGTGTAAAAATAAATTCACTATAAGTATATCCTTATGACAAAGTAGAGATGAGCCAGGTGGATCGGCATGGGGAGTGAATTGACAAATCGGCATATTTTTTCATATTAATGCACCGTTTTCGTTCGTGATATTGATATGGAGAAATATGCGGTTCTGTTAACTTACTCTCATTCTGACACACTTTTTTCTCTTCTAGTCTTTACCTGCTACCTCGATAAGTTTGAAGTCGGGGAAATGAAATGTAATATGTCTTATAAACTGCATTTCTTACATAACCATTCAGATGAGTTTCCGGATAACTGTGGTGATTTTAGTGACGAGCATGGAAAACGATTCTATCAAGACATGAAAAGTATGGAGCAGTGGTATCAATTAGGTAGATAGGATGTTTTGATGATGGCTGATTACTGCTCAAAATGAGAAAGGCAAAAAACGCAAACGAAAACCATTACGCCGTTCGTTTGAAGAAAAAAAGATGCATTGCGAAAAAAAGTAAAAACGCATGCAAAATTAAAAATATTTTCTTAATTTTTTACTTCCTTGTATTAATTTAAAGTTTAAATGACCTTGAAGGTGACTTCATAGAGGTCATCTGACTTCAGATTTGAGTTCAGCATCCTTAAAAACCTCTGAATGAGTATTTTCAGATTTTTTAAAGCTTTTTTCGTGATCTGACCCTAAAATGACCTTCAAATGACCTTTACAAGGCCGGATACAGTCAAAATGACCTCTGATTTAGAATGAGCGACCCTCAAAACATAAGGGTGATTTTTTCGGATATTTTCATTGAATTCTTGTAGTTTGACCTTCAAATGACCTTGAAATTGACCTCCTGAAGGTCATCCGACCTCGGATTTGGATTCGGCATCCTCAAAAACCCATGTATGAATTTTTTCAGATTTTTTACCCTTTTCCTATTATTTGACCTTCAAATGACCTCTAAAATGAGCCAACCTTGAAAAACCGACCCCAGATTCGGATTCAGCGACCCCAAAAACATAAAGTCCACTAGGTCCGGTCGGTGGATTTGAAAATTTTTTTTTTTTTGTAGAGCTGTGTTATTTGCATTTCTCACCAAGCACACGCGCCTACGAGTTAATTCCAACAATAATCCGAATCATTGTTCCACCTCGTTCTCGTAATTCGGCTGATCTCATTACAATGAGCGATTTGCTCGTTGCTCGCGTTGCACTTCAAGCTCCTCCTCCACAAATTCATCAAGGTATATAAATTGAAAAATGCATCGCACGCAATATCAGCTTGCCAGAGCCTAATATCGCCCGCATTCGCAGAGGCGCAAATACACGAGCCAGACAATCGAATATATACGACAATTGCTGGAAGATGAAAGAGGCCGATAACGAGCGCACGCACTTGTCTCTATATTATGCGCGCTTGTTTCGTTTTTTTTTTCATGCACGCCGGGAATTAGTGCGCGGCGATAAGATCGAAAATGTATATATGCATCACGAGGCAATTACGCGACTAATTTCGCGACTGCACACGCGTCCACTGTGCAGTGCAGTTTTTGTTGTATACCAGTTCATCGCGCATAGGCTTACTTTTGTTTTATTTCGCTGAATTTCATATCGCAGCCATTTGCCGTGGTCGAGCCGCGCGCCGAGTAACTTATTTTATTGCCACAATTAGTATATTGTGTACTTTATGTCTCGTTTTTATTGCGCGCCACATTAATCATTGGACACTGGCCATGCGACGTATGATATTATACATTACGCTGTGCTAGAGGCCGCCGGCCAAACTAAATGAATAATTGAATTTGCACGAGACGACGAGGCGCATGTGTATATAGTCGTATAGTGTAGCCGCGCGCGTCATGATTTTGCGCATTAACGTCGAGCTGCCGCCGCGTAACTACCTTCGCACGCAGACCAGCAGCTCCCGAAGCTGTACTATATAGCTGTAGCGAGTCGGAGCTCGGATAATTGTAAAGAAAATCGAAAATGATTATTAGTTTGTCACGCAGAGCAGCCGCGCAATTGCCGGCCTATCTTCCCATGTCATCGGATTATTACGTGCCGAGGGGGCGACCTGTGCCCATACCTTTGCCAATGAATGTCGCGTAATTAGCCCAAGGAAAACATATGGACTCGTGTGCACTTACAGCGCGTTATATTCCGCTATACACAAGCACCTTTGATATACTAAGCAGCTTTACCTGAAAAAGTCGCCGCGTTCGACGATTTTAATTTTTTCACCCCTTTTAATCTCGCCATTAATATCGCTACATTATATCGCAATTAATCAAACAAATTCCCTTATCTTATCGAGCAACCTATTGATTTTGACCACCCTTGACCAATAATGAAATTATAACAACGTTATCGTACTCGTGTAAATTATCGGATCTCTATTCACGGCAAACATTGTCCAATCTGTCACACTCGCACACCCTTATACGCGATAAAAAAAAAACAGAACAAACCGATAAATTTTTTTTGTTTTTCCATCATCTGTTGCAGCTGTGAACGATCTGACGCTACAGGCGCACTTGCTGCAGACGAGCGCCGGCCACGAGGCAGCCGGACCCGGAGGGCCTCACTTACCCTGGCTCATGCCGCCGATGTTCCCTCCGCATTGGGGCCCCGCCACGACTCCGAAGCTGCCACCGCTGCACGCCCTACTCTCCCAGTACATGAGTCTGCCGCTGAGTTTTCCCTGCACGGCGCTCGGCCCGCTCAATCACGCCGCCGCGGTCAACGCCTTGGGTCTCGGGATGACACAGATCTCGCCCCAGAATTTGACCAGCAGAAAGCGCGAGAGGGAGGAAGACTCCAATTCGGACGAGGAGCAACAGCAGCCGCAACAGCGGGAACCGACGCCCAAGAGAAGTAACACTGGCTCCGACGTGCTGAGGATCAAAAACGACGAAAACAGTCATTGAGCAGGTTGAATTGCGATCGACTGCTCGGGTATCTAAGCTGGACAATAACTCAAACTCGTTGGACAAATCCTCACCCGTCGATGGTTTCTCCTCGTCGCTGTACATAATATGTCATTGATGTGTCGTTTATTCGCTTATTCGTTGCGAGCTCGAAAGCTGCGAAAACTGTGATTTTATTATTAACGCCTAGATACCTTAATTGTAATTTTTTTTATTTTTAATTACGTTTTCTTAACTGACAATAATAAAACGTAGCTAGATTCTCTAGACCAAGTATACCGATTTAACCAAATAATCTCATTTATCTATTTATTTTTACAATGAATGATGATTTTATAAGAGAGTAAACGAATTTATACAAATGTAAACCTAAGGAAATAAGACATTTTCCCCACGAAATATAGCACACATGCATAAACCAATCATCAAAGTATTATAATGATGGTTTTACAAATTACTTAACTATGACAATGAATAGTTTTCAATATAACAGGTGTTTACTTGAGTTTCGAATATAATTCGCGATACGAGTCGACAGTTGTTTCTTCGAGTCATTAAGATTAAACCTTCTTTTAATCATGCAAAATTCAATATACCTTTATCGCTATTTCGAAAAAATCGTTCCAACATCTGGATAATTTTTCGTGTCTAAAAATTATCTGCTACCTTAAAATCTTTTAAGTATTCATACGGTGTCACTCGTTTAATCAATCATTTTTATAGCATAGAAAGTAAGAGTAATTATAAGTTTTTTGTTAATTTTGTTGTTGTTTGTTTTGAAGAACGATATCGTAATAGAGTATGATAATTTTATGCTTTTTCGAGAGCAGCGTATGCAAATGAGGTAATTTTAAATGATTATACGATAAATGTATTCATAAACTTGTATAAAGCATCATTAAGAGTAAGTAGAGAAAAACTAATTGGTAAAATTTGAGTCGTAAAATTGTGTACGTTTGATGTATCGATTTGAGTTTGTAAAAATTTTAATAATAAATAAGTGGCTGTACTATAACTAGAATAAAAATCTATCATCAGATGTATGAGTGTAAATATGTAGCAAAATTCTTCCGATAAAGACTTGAAAAGTATTAAAAAAAAAAAAAAAATACTAGTTGAATTTCATTTTCCTCATTCCAAAGCAAATTCCTCTTTTACATTCGCGTATTATAGACGTTAAATAATATTTTTCTACGATACTAAAAACTTTGAAATACTGTTTTATTCAGTTTTTATTTGAAAAATCAAAAAAAGGACGCAATAGTTGCAATTTTTAACCTTGACTTCGCTTACAGAAGGCGAACTCGTACAATTTTTAATTTTAAAGTTTGCCCTACAAAAAGTTATTTCAATTTGTTATTTATTTAACGATACTTTTATTTAAATTCTCTCTACATTATGTGTTTGCAATGCATCAACAATTAGAGTTAAAAATCGCTTTAAACCGCTTTTACAATTTTAATTAGCGCAATGATTATTTCATAAATAGAGTTAATTATTCTATATGTAAAAGAAAAACTTTGAATTCGATTCAATAGCTCGTGGCATTCAAGTCTGTATCGATGAAATCACGCTGGATAGAAAAAAAGATGAATCGAAGCGGGGGATTATTTAATTGAGCAGAAATTGTATATGAAAAGCATCGGTGAAGGTTTTTCTACTGTTCTTGTTTGTTCGCCCATCATCGGATAATAATAATGACTTTGGGAATTGCGCATCAAACGATCATATATAGAGAAGAAAAGAGCATATTATATTGGGGCAGAGTGAAAAATGGAGCGTTTCTGCCTATTGTCGAATAACAGCCTTTATTGACTTTCATGATTTTCAATTGTCACATAAGCTCGGGCTCGCAATTGCTGGTATATAGCCTCCCCCTCGTATTTGGCGGCCACTCGACGCGATGTCGGCCAGGATCACCCCACCGACTCTTCTGCAACTCGAAATGACTTGGGAAATTTTGGACAGTTCGAGTGGCTGCTGCACTATTCGCAGTTTCGACGACGAGTGCAGTCGGACGAGTATAGGAAAAAGTCATTTTGGACGGATTAAGCGGCTGATTGCATTATTATCGATATCATAAGAGACTTTCAATACGGTATATAAAATTGTCACGTACAGAGAAGATACAGCGAATGATTCACAGCAGCGGCAGTGGCAGTGGCAGCGGCGGTGGGGTGGCAGAAGCAGCAGCAGCAGCAGCAACGGAAAGACGAGCAGAAGTGCAAAACGAGCTGCGCCGAGAGGTAGGGGGGCTTGTGCAAGTGGCGAGTTCCGGAAGGAAGGCTGAGTGAGAGGGAGCGAGAGAGAGAGAATATAGAAGCTGTATATAGCAGCCGAGAAGGACTATTAGATTAAAAGCAGCGCCTCCCACGACTGCTTGAGATCCATTAGTGCCCATTGTGACGGGCCATTTGCGCCCGCCAGTCAGCCAACCACGAGCTGATCTCGATTTGCAGCGGAGCAACCGCAGCGGCAGCCGCATATATATGCCGTTTTATTATATTCGCGCATATTCTCGAGCGATACGGCCCTGTGGATAAGCAGACGATCTATTTTTTACTGGTTTCTTTGCTACTCGATGCCGACCGGTCAACGTTCAGAAAGTTCGGCTCGCGGAAGCTCGCAAGAGGAAAATCGCGTCTTGGCCAAATTTACGTCTTTCTCAGATTTCACACTCGATGGCTTTATTCGAGGTTTTTGTCAAGGGTCTTTACATATCTTCGACCGTCGCTCGAATCACAGGATAGTCTGTAAAATATTTCCTCCTCCTCTCCTGCCGTATAAAGACGCACCTATAATGTACACAGTGAGTCGCTGCAGACGCGCGTAATTTTGCGCGTAAAGCGCGTGAATGCCACCAATTAGCATGTGCGCAGTAGTATAGTAATAGTGACTCGAGTCTCTCGACGACGCGTATAAGTAACACTAGGCACATCGCATGCCCTCCCCCTCATATACCATATACCGCAGCCATGCTAATTATCGTTTTTTTTTTGTCACGCGCATGCGACTATTAGTATCGCGAGTCGCGCGGCTCGAATAAGTAGTGGCCTCCCTTCCCCCTTCGACTCGTGTATAATCGCAGCAATCATCGTCGTGCAGATGATGACAGTGACAATTTGGGGGCGACTCTACTTATATTTTCTTGGAGCGTCTCTGTCAGCTCTCGTTGCGACTGAAACGTCTCCTGCTACACTGCGCACGTATGCGACTTACTTACTTGCGGCTTAATGCGGCTTTTTAGCAGCCCCACTCGACGCCGCGGTATACGACAAATTTATACGTTTCACAATGCACTTTTTAGTTCTTTTTCTTCTTGGCAGCAGCTCGTACGAATATACAAACTTGCTTGCATTCAAATGAATCTCGTGTACTTTTTTTTGCTCATACCATTTCTTTTTTCTTGATATACACATAAAGAGGTTGGAAATTGCTCGAAATCGAATCCAAGTCGAATTCGGGCGCAATTAGCCGGTGAAACTTATTGGTGTGTAGCAATGTTCCGTTGTCGCTCGATCCTCCCAAGACCTCTCATCAATCGAAGCGAGAGTAATGCTGCAATTCCGCTTATCAAAAATTGATTATTTCTCAGGCTCTCCATTGCTCGGCCTGCTGACGAACAACAATGTCCGATCCCGTAATGTTTATCGCTAATACGCATAGCGGCGGACAAAGGCGGACAAAGGCATACGTATGTTTACTGATTACTCGCGGTCTTTGGGGGCAGGCATAGTTTTTAATATGAAGAAACGAAACATTCCCATGCACACGAATACTTATGGTCGTCGCGCAAGGTGTAGCCTCAAGTAAGATTCACACGTTGTTAATCCTACTGTACTCTTACGAACGTCGAGCAAAAATTAGCGATATTAGCTCGAAAAGCCTAAGTGTACGTGTATGTGCACTCGTACATTCGTATTATATGCTGCTACACTTGATTAAGGCCATTAGGAAGCAAGTTCCGAATCAAATCGCAGCATCAAAGCGGCGCACTCGGCCGTGACGATATAGGCGCGCAGCAGCACACACACACACACACACACACACACACACATACACACGTATAGCAGAGTAACAAGTAACAACCCCCTGTATCCTCGGCTTTTCTCTCGCTCGTCGTCGTCGACGTCGATGGAGCGTGGGGCACAATAGATTCGACGCGCGAACCGATATACCCCCACCCATGAGCTCCTCGAGCAATTGCTACCTACATGCTATATTATACCTGTACGCACATAATAGCCACCGTTGCACTTCTCTCGCAATTTATCGAGCGAGAAAATTTCTTCTCGCTTTTCGGATTTCAGCGACTTTGGGATTCGGGGCCTCGTGTAATTCCGCGATTGTCGCTACGCAGTCGAGCTTTTTATTTTATACGTATACATTTCACAGTTGCAAGAGCTAGACTTTTTGAGCCTGCTACAACGTAATACGTAGGATGGGAATCGACGAGCTATTACTGCCACATCATTGCGACGCTATTCAATTGCCAGACTTTAATTCGTAGGCGCACTTTTTCGGACACTTTTATACCAAAATATTATTCTTCCGATCCTTTGTTCAAGCTACAAATGTTTCTTTCATCGCAAAACATGCACCCAATAGACTTGACGACTCGAGCCCACAACAACAGCAACAACGAACTTTTTTAACTCACCGATTTCGAGGCAGCACTAATAAACGGGTGAACTGATTTCAAGTCGTTATACTATTATGAGCAGTCTTGGGGTCAATTTGAGGTTATCACAAGTCTCAACTCCTTCAACTAATACATTACACACATAAACACCCACACTCAAGTACGCGCGCGAGCAGACTGCATGCGATGAGCAGTTTTATCCTTGAAGGTACACCAATACTTACGTTTTAGGTTCGTGAGAAATTACTGCAGATATATCATTTTCAACCAATACGCGACAGAATCGTTGTTTGGGTTCGCGTGCAGCCGAATAGTCAATGAGTAAGCAGACATCGAATCTCTCAACACGTAACGTCTTTCGCGTAGCGTCTTTCGCATAACGTCTTCCGAACCTACAAAGTTTCTGTTCAAATGCGAGTGCGTTTGTGCATTAGTATATATCTAAAAAAGCATAGTTTATTTTATAGTTGCTCGTTTAATGCAGCTCGCGCACGTTTATGTATATAAGTATCAATAATGTGTTCGTCTACACACAACTGGACTTGTTTTATGCAGCTTGAGTGTGTTTATGTGAGTGACAACAGCCACAGCTTTCTCGCTCGCTTATCTGTGTGCGTGTGTGTGTTTTTATGTGTTTAGTGTTACAGTTTACTTGTAAGAAGTTTAAATTGTTCCCGAGACTGTTCCTGGAGCCAACCCGTTCTTGGCAACGGAATGGTATTTTTATCAGTGAGTAGTACCAAGTCAAAAACTGCATTTAGCCTCTATTCTTTCTTCTTTGATTGATCAATTATTCAACCGATAACTCGATGAAATTCGCTCGTCGCTACGCGTATGATTTCTGTGGCGGCGAGAGGCGATAAGCGACAAATGGGCTTTCGTTGCACATTTATCGACACAATTATAATCGATCGAAAGAGATGAATATGAAGCGGAGGCGGCGGAGCACAAAGTTTTATATACGTCGCGCGCGCGCGCAGATAACGGCCATAATAAACGGGCGGTGGCAGTGCAAAAAAAAGAACGAAATAAAAAGCGTATACGGAACGGTATAACTGCGCGAGCAATTACGCCCGTCAAAAGTGAAACAAAATCAAGCTTCCGGTTTCGTGCAAAAAAAAAAGAAAAAAGAAAAAACATGCATCGCAGGGCTCCGGGTAAATGGGTGCCGCACGCAGACAGCTCGCATAAGTTTCGCTAAAAACTACGACGCTATTTCCGAGCCTCTCTAATAATCCACTCGATCAAGGCGATAGGTCGTATTATTATAATAAATACTGCACGTCGAAGAAAGGTGTAAGGGCTCGCGCGCCGCCGAGTTTGCCTCGATGCTGTTATATAGCTGCGCTGCACGGCT